AAGGAAGGAAGGAAGGAAGGAAGGAAGGAAGGAAGGAAGGAAGGAAGAAAGGAAAGAAAAAGGTTTATTCTATGAACTAGGATTTGATGCTACCCCAAATTCCAGCTTGTGTTTGACCCATGCCTTTAAAGTAAAAGGCAAAAGCCCCCTTTTAAGATTTTTCTTTCCCACTATTCCCACTTACCTCTTAGACGTGATTGACAGTTTGGTTTGTCTCACAGATCAAATTGTGTGCTTGAACTTGACCTTTATAAAATTGGTTTCCTGATTGTGGTCTGTACCTTCTGTCTAGTTCCATGTTCACCCTGCTGGCTGCCGAAGGACCAACTAGTGCAGAGCTTTTGAAAGTTATCAGTGGTGACACATAAGGAATTCGAAGTTTACTCATCAGATTCTCTGGATGTTTTATGTAAATCATGTTTTAAAAGAAGTATTCTGGGACAACAAAATCAGACTTGGTGTCGTTCCCTGTGGAAAACCGTTTGGGAAAGAGTGTATGCCTATGAGCCATATACCTGTTTCAGTCTGCACTAGCCTTGCTTTTCCTTCCTGGGGAGCACTGTCATTGTCACATGGGTATTAGACACAATGTATATGCTGGAGAATAAGCAAGTGTATTGTTTTAGTGGAAATTCCAAGGGCAGGTGTGTGTCCATGACTGTTTCCTTGTATTATTTTAAAGATGTTTAAAGATCCAACTAATCTGACTTGTGTCCCTATCATTTGAATGCCTGCCAGGTGTGCAGTGTACACACAAGGGACGCAGGGGGCCACAGTGCTTTTCTTTCTAGTTGTTTTACATGGGAACTAAGAACCATAGTTCGTGGTCTGAGATGTATGTCTGTGGATTTGAGATTATCCATGCACCTGTATACCTATTCTTTGTGATGAAAATGTACCAAACTTTTGGGGATGATAGCAAATAGGATGATAGTAAAATTGATCACAAATCTGAGGTAAAGATAGACAGATTTTTCTTATTTTTGATACGGTCTCTCTGTCCTCTGCCTGAGTGCTGGGATAATATGTGTGCAGCCCATCACTTGGGTATGGGAAGAATGTTGATTTGGTTTTGAAGTCCTGCAGATAATAATACCCTTTTGAGACAGATTAAGATAATTTTATTTTCTAGATTCAAGAGAATAGTTATCCTCAGTTTAAATTGCTTTTCCAAATTGTGTGGTTACAGTATGGAAACAAGTATCTTTTGCTTGTTTAAATATCAGTTTTAAGTTGGTGGATTCTTTTTAAACCTAGAAGAAACGCAGCTTAAACAGCCAGGCATACTGGCATACACATGTGATCATAGCATGAG